CGATAAAAATAAATGCTCTGCTTAGGTAAAAGCAAACATTAACCTAACAAAACAACAGATTTATTAAAATGAAACTATATATTAACAAAATGGATCATAAGTATTAAAATAAAAATACTTGCACTGCAGATAAAATTACGTTTTCATTAAGATATACAATTCTGATTCATGAACGCACAACTGGGATTTTACTGTTTACTGATGTTGCCGTGGGAGAATGTGCTTGTTTATTTACTTCATGTTCCCAGCACAGAGGTTCAAAGGTGAAAGGTAAATACCTGAAAACAAGAGAAATGCAAAGGAGTCTCACAAATCTGAATTTCTAATTAGATTGTTATTCGAATGAAAAACATCTACAAACTGGTTTAAAGTCAGATTAGGTACAATCAACAGTGATCTGAACCCTGCATGTGATCATTTTAAACAGCCTTGTGGTGCTCTGTTTAAGAAAAAATCTGGACAGAGTGTTGCATGATGTATTATTATGGCAATATTTGGAGTAACTCCCCAAGATGTAAATTTAAGTATGGCCCAAGCTGACATCATTACCTTTTTGCTCACTTTTGGCCAGAAGGTCTGTGCAAAACAGAAGGACTCCTCAACTGGAATTAAGTTTGTCATCTGCTACTTACAACTAGAAAAGGTCTGTTGTTTTAACAAAGACTCAAATGAATTTTTCTTTGCAACCTGGCAGCCATCCTTTTCTTTTGTGGCAAATATGGAGACATGAGTGCAATAATGTTTTTGTTTTAGGTTTTTTTTTTCTTTTCACTTATCACAGCATGTTTATGAGCTAGCAGGACTTTTTTAATTATGTGTCTTTATATATATACATTTATACATATATACATATATCTCTTTTTCAAAAACTCTTAATGGTAAATGGTAAATGGCCTATATTTGTATAGCGCTTTACTATCCCTAAGGACCCCAAAGCGCTATACACATTCAGTCATCCACCCATTCACACACACATTCACACACTGGTGATGGCAAGCTACATTGTAGCCACAGCCACCCTGGAGCGCACTGACAGAGGCGAGGCTGCCGAACACTGGCGCCACCGGGCCCTCTGACCACCACCATATATTAATAAATATACATTGTTTAATAAAATAAAATAAAATAAAATAAAATAAAGACTGTGACCTGTCCGCTTTAACGAAGAGAAGTACCTTTTAAAAAAAACCTTTAAGTCAACTGAAGTCACTCCTTCAGCCAAAAAACCTATAGGTGGGAATCAGTTGGTTGTGTAGCATGCTCGTGAGTGGCTGAAGCCAAGTTGGCAGAAATGTTTGTAACTGACTCAGACTTGGGCTTCCTGTATAAAAAAAGCAAAGCCTGAGTTCATGCAGTGAGGTATTGTTGCATAACACTTATCTTGACACCACACCCCAGGATTTGGAAGGGAAAAGGCCAAACCAGTCAGAGTTTGTCTGGGTCTTTGCACTCTCACACCCAAGTTTGTAAGAACATGCTCCTGTTTGACAAAAAATATATTAACATATAGCATAGGCTATATGCTTTACAGTGTCAGAAGCAGTTTCGTGGTTCTATTTCCAACATCAAAAACGCCCTGAAACAGCTTAAAAACAGTCAATTCTTGTGAGTTAGCGTTCAAGTTTATGAGCGTTTTTATGAAGGAAATCAATTCAGTATGCTCTGATTTTATATGGAAAATTTAATGGCTTGTAAACTGCAAGTCCTCCGTCTTATAACAAAATCTACTAGTATATCTGTAGTATGCCAATGTGAATGTATGTCAATAAGTTGGACACAGAGCGAGATACCATATGTGCGATACATTTGCAGGCCAAAATGTATCAGTGGCACACAAGAGGAAACACTTCAGAGTATTTCTGATGGTACACCATTAAAGAGGAGGGTGCTTTAGTGACTATGAAAAAACAAAACAAAACATGTGAAGCAAGGCTGCAATTCTCTGTATTCAAAAGGGTGCTTTTATTTTAACATTCACATTTATTTATCCAGCCTCAAAAAAAGAGAGAAACAGAAATCAGTTTCCTGTTTTTCTTTTTTAACTTTAAATATTCTCTCTATATATTTTAAATCTGAATTTCTCATTGTGTCTTTGACTACAGAAAACTCATCCATGTTGTACTTAACGTAACCCTATAAACATCACTGTAATGATTTGGCAGAGTGGAATCTTTACAGGGAATTGGCCTAGAAAATTGCACTGATTGCAATTTTCTAGGCCAATTCCGATTTTTTTCTAAGTAGGAGCTTTTCCAAGTAAGATCTGATTTTGCTGAATCAGGTTTTCTTTCTAAGAACTACAACTGACAGCGTATACAAAAAATTTCCCTATTCTTTAAAGCAAAATTTTACATTCTTAATAAAAGAAAAGACCAAATT